ACATTTGTGCCTACAGAGGGACCATGGGTGGCTTGCGTTTCACCACCCACAGTTGCAACCACACACCCCATGTCCGGTGTAAACCCGAAGGAATAAGACCGGGAGGCATGCGGATAGGAGCCACGTTTCATCAACAGAGCCGGCCCACACTCTTTCAACAAGCAGAACAGAAGCACTCCGGACTAATTGGGAGATCATACACACCAGACGTACAGTGGCTAGACCGTAGTCCCCTCCACACAGAACGAAATCACTTTTTGAGCCTAGGAGCGTCACGAGGACGGTGCACCCCGTCCCCTCCAGCAACGACCAACTCTCTCCTGGAGTCAGTATGGACGAGGTGGTGGGTAATAGACAGATACGCACCTTGTTGACATTCACCGTGCATCGGTACAATAAACTCTTGCGTGTCATGCGTACGATGTACCTAATTTACCTCAACTGTTACTGTAAACCCCGCTTGTTGTCTTAATGTGTTCCTTGTTTAACTTTATCATGGTGAACTTGATGTTACCACCAGACACAAGCGGTCCTCCGCAGACAACCGTTGTCAAATGCGGAAAGCCTGGGCTTCCCATCGGAACGCATTAGCCAGGACTGCATTCCATCCACCAACACTGTGTGAACGGGTGCTGTGAACTACGCATTTCCTTGAGATGGAGACGTTTCGGTGGTTCCACGACTGCCTCAGACTGACAAATATTGACCTGACCGTATCGGTTCAGCGAGTTATCTTTCCTATAGTGCCACCAACAGACATACAGCTCCCAAGGTATTCGTAACTATCTACTTTTTCGAGCTGTGCACCTTCAAGGTGAACACGAAAACAAGTATGGACCAATCCTTGATCAACACTATTCGCAGTGATTTGCACACTCTGCGGCTCACCACAGAGAGTAAGATGATGTCATCATCCTAATATGTGTGTGTCTACCTTGTAAAAAACCTTTTTTAACCAACTTTTTGGATTCCACACACAGCTCTCTACGCGGTGTATTCAGCTGCAGATTTGACGTGGAGCCGGATATGGGGCATCCCTGATGAACACTGCTGTTGATAGCGAAAGACATAGACTTTCCCTGCCGGAGATATGGTGCACATAGAATGGCGGTGTACTTCTCTGAGACCATGTTCTTTACTAATCAACACCTATTGGTGGATCGATCACCCGAGCCAAACTTGGTTCGTATGTCTAAAAATGCGATAGCAATGGGTCTTTTGTAAGGTAGCGATGTTAAGGGAGTAGGGGGTGGTGCGTAAAAATTTGACTAACATGCCTACTCGCAAAATGGAAATCAGGGTGTTCTTCTCGATAGTGTGATTCACGAATTAAGGATATTCTGTGAAGCAAGCTTTTATAGATAAGTGGCAGCCGAACTGTGACCGACCCTGCAGTGATTGACAATTGCATTGAGAGCGGTACTTGAAGATCGTGACTTTTAAGGTACTCATCCCATTAGTTCACAAGTTACCCAGCATAGCCTAGTCCGGAAGAGCACCAGGCGCGTCTCGCCTTATTGGGGCTCGTCAGTGATGCGCATTCCTTCGTGTCAGCTTTTTGAGATCAACGAGGTTAACTGGCTAATCGTAATTAAACGGTTTCGGGTGAAGTCCGTTACAGTCCTTTAGCTTTAATCGTTTCAAGTGCGGAATCTCGAGGTAGACTTCCGCTTCATTGGGTGGATCCAGTAGGGTGAGTGAGGGTATGCAACTGGGTATACTGTACACAGGGAAACGGTGCGGGCCAGTTCAAACCTCAAATGAAAGTTCTTAGTCCATTGTCGAAACGCCTCTGCTAATTGTTGATCGGAGGCTCATCCACCTCGAAAATGACCTCACCGCCACTAGTTTTTCTGAGGCCAGTGGCCTAAATTAGTTGGAAGAGCCCACGAATATTACCAGAGGGAGGATAGGTCTCTATCCCTGAGGCATACCGAGGCCCCTAAGCTTCGTGCTCAATACGCATGCTATACTGAAGTCGTACTTGACTGAGTGACCTAATTCTACTGGAATATTTCTGCTGTGGCCTTCCAACTCCCTAGAGCGAGCATACATCCAAGCTTGTGCAGGGTGCTAGTGGATACCGCAGCCTGATTACGCATGAGATCACTGTCTTTTGTATCGGGATCCAGTGTGG